AAGTGCAGTGTGTGCCATGAGCTGGACTCCTCCACTTCTGGAATGTCTGCAGTAGCACTCTTGGTAACAGCAAGAAATTTGGCTAGTAGGTCAGGATGGGAGCAGCTGTGCTGAGATACTGAAGAAATCTGCAGGAGGACTGTCACAAGCCTTCCCTGGAGATTCTCTTTGGCATAATCCTGGGCAGGCAATATACCCAAAAAAAGTGGTCATCCTGCCTTACTCAGGAAAAGACAAGCACGAGAGCCAAAGAGCTTTGTCATTTCGTGACATCAAATCTTCTATGTCTTTAAGGTTTGTTTCATGCTTTTCATCACTCCCCTAATAGCCTCTATCATACTGACTGCTCTTGGCACAGGGGACAGGTAGAGTTTACTGGGGTAAGAAATACCAATGTGCTGATTACATCATCCTGCCCGGGCATCACTTGAGTTGCTGTGATACTTCTAGCTGACAGCTGAGCACACATGTCTCTCTTGGTTGTTTTTCAGGTACCCAGAGGGGTGAGATGTAGCACTGTGACTTTGCACATACCATGCTGCCAGTTGGACTGCTGATAGCCTGAGCAGGAAAGTGCTGTTGAGGAATCCTGGGAAAGACAGAATAGCACAAGGAGAAATTGCTGTGTCAATGTAGTTCTGACTGTGGTTAGGCTTCAGGAGAATTTAATGCATTGTTATAGCTGTTATCCACATTGTTGTGGGTATTATCCAGCCCATCATTTTTGTGTCTTGGCACTAGGATTTAATATATTTACAAATAGCTAACACAAGATTTTTCAGACATCCTACAAGGTCAGGCAGTGCATAGAAGACTGCTAAATTGTTTTGGTGATTCCCTGGATGTAACCTGCTGATGACATTCCCTGGTCTTTATAAATTTGATTTTTAGGACTGACACTCAACTCTACAAGCTGCAGTTGCTACAGCAAAATGCTAAGAGCATGCCTTATAATGCATGCCTTATAATAAACCTGACTGATTTAGGCTTTTCAGGGCTGTGACCAAAACTACACATCACAGAGTGGAACGAATCAGCTGCCAGTGGTAATCACAGTCTTGGTGTAATGAGGTTTAATCAGCTTGTCCTTGGAAGAGAGATCAACAAGTTCTGAAGCTTTCAAGTGGCTCCAGGCAGAATCTCTCTAGTGTTTAAGCAAAAAAGCAATGAAGACTGGGGTGATGCTTGACGCATGTGGCAAGCTGCTGATGGGATGGATGTTTCTGGCCTAGCACCTGAGAGCCCAGAGCAGAAGCAAAGAAGTGCATGCAGGGGAGCTCTGAAATCAGAAGGATTGATAAGGCAGAGCTCATTAACTAAAGATAAGGTTTCCAGACAATATTCTTCTTGTAGTAGTCTTGGTTTTTATCCAGGCAGAGCTTATTCCTGTTGGAGACCTCTGCATGTCTCTCTTTGCCAGATAGTCAGAGATCACTAGCCTTTTCTCAGTGTCACTTTCTATACTGATTGCCATTTTCAATAGGGTTTTTGGTTTTTTTTCCCTCAGAAAATACCTCCCAATATGAAATTTCTACTCAGTCTAAGGCACCTACTTATGTATTTTTACCTTTAAAAATGTATAGGAGCCCAAGACCAGCTCAGGTGGGTTGTGCAGCTTCAGATAACTGTGTCCTCCAAGCATCAAACAACCAGAGAGATGTTTGCATCCCCATTTCTGGAGCACTGACTATTGCCAGAAAAGCTTAGCCATATCCTCAGCAAGCCTTTTGCCTTTGTGTGGATTCATTCTTTCACCTGCTGCTTAATTACTTTGTTTTAAAAACCTAGCTGCATTGTGCTGACATTTATATGTGGTTTCTATTCTCAGTAATAGAGATGAGCCAGGTAAATTATGTCAAAAAAGGGGAGGAAAAGAGGGTTCTTTGCACAGCATCTGCTGCAGAGGCTGTTCCTCCACATGCAGTGTGTGGCCCTCACCCAGGCAGCCTTGTAACTGCTAACAAAGGAGGGGTTTCCTCATTTTTACTGCAAGACTGAAACATATGTTCTGTCTAATTCAGGAGAAAATGTTACTCTGAAATTTCCAGCTTTTCTTTCCTGCCTCAACTCAGCTCTGGGCAGAGATTGAGGAAATCTGAGATGACCCAGGAGAGAGAGCAGCAGAGACCTCTGCCTAAACTGTTTGAATAGATACCCTTTCCAAATGCTGGCACCTGGGAATCCTTTAATGACTTGGATGGTGCTTTGGGTAGACTGAATATCTCCTTTCAGAAACAGAGGCTTATTATTATTATTTATTTATCTGCCTTAAATCCTGCAAGCAGTTGGAAAGTAACCCTTTCTTGTGTTACATTCCTACCAGTGTGCTGAATATCATGAGGCCAAAGTTTATTCTCATTTACTCTGATGTAACTGCAAGTATAAATCTGTATTAAGGCAGATACTTTACATCAAATTTTCAAAGGGCAGAATATGTCTTTATTCACTTAGTAATCTTAAACACACATCTCCCATTCATAAGGGAATTATATGTGAAAAATTCCAAATGTTAAATGGATATGTGCCTCAAACATAGCTATTATTGAAAAGCTAAGTAATAATTTGCAACTGAGAGGATAGGGTTGTCATTGAAAGAAGTAGTAGAACACCATGTAAAAAGTATTTTGTCCTCTGCATCAGGAAATTGTTATAACAACTGAATTTTATTGACATTTCTTTATTTACAGAGCTCTGGTAGGAGTAATTTTTCCTCCTTGTCTGCATAGAGGCATCTATTTGATCTAAAGAGAGAATGCAATCTTTGGTGTTACGGATATGCATGAAGACACTTCTTAATAATCTGTTCCAGAGCCCTAATCCCCTAAAATTTATTTCCTACCTCTCTTCTTCTTGTCTAGAGTTGTTTGTCATTGTCTGCATCAGTCCCCAAATCTGATCTACTCTATAAAATCATCATTTGTACGCCTGAGCCACATTCTCTTCAGACTCCTGCCTTTCTTGGCTTCATCTGTTTTCCAGATCTTTAAACAATTCATAGCAAAAACCATGAAGTGAACAAGTAAATGCTGCAGCTTTGGAGGTTTTCCTTTACCTGAGCCCAGCTTACAACTGCAAGGGTGAAGGTTGCTCTGGTTTGTTTGGCACCTTGCAGAATGAATCCTGCTCCCAGTCTGGCCTTTAGTTTTTATGGGATTACAAGTAGTGTCACAATAATAAATACCAGCTTGCTTTCCTGCAGAAACTGTTACATTTGCCATTGCTTCTACCAGCCTCTACCTCAGAATTTCCTGCAGCAGAATGACCTTGTCCAGCAAGGTCTGGAGGTCATTGCAGATCTGAGCTAAGGAAGTTTCCCCATGACAATAAGAGAAACCACATGCTCAAGTCCCCCCTGTGAGTTTGTCAGTGCAGCAGCACAGCAGTATGCCCATAAAAGATGGTGTGGGTCTCTCGCAGCTATTTATTTGGGCTTCATAGCCAGCCACAGGGTGATTTCCTGCTTAAAACAACTTGTGAGGTGTAGAGGTGCATCTGAACTGTGAGGCCTGGGGCTGTTTTCCAGCTTGGAGGCCCAGATGTGCACTGCTGCTTGTTTGTCAGGATGCAGCTGGGGTGTGTACTTGTCTGCCCTCTCTTCTCTCCCTACCATGCTTCCAGCTTTCCATTGGGAAAAAAACGGATTGAGAGCAGGAGGGTGGGTGGTGTGGTGGACTCCTGGTTTAGTCTGCCTCAGAATTTCATACAGTTCACCTCAAACTAATAACATTGCAAAGCTTGACCTGGCACAGTAGAATCACTGTGGGACAGGCTGTTTCCAGCTTCTGAGCACCTAAGACCTGCAGACTGGGACTGTGGTAGTGCTTTTGAACCAAATTTCCTTTCCCAGACAACCACCATGAGATGTCCTCAGGCATTCTTTGTTTTACAGTTACCATTACCAGTAGGGATGAGCTAAGGTATAATTTTTTTGGGAGAGGGCTGTTAGGGTCAATACTGACAAATCTGCCTAGTTCTAGGACTTCAGTGGGTCTCTGTGTGCAAATGCTTAATCAATTTTAAAATACAAAACTACCTGAAGTTTCCTTTTCATTTAACCACAGCTTTATTTTTGCCCCTATTTACCCAGAATCACATCCTTTCAGCTTGAGATCATCTGTCTTAAAAATTATGGGCTGTTAGGGTGTGTTTTTAGTTTCCCCACATTATGGTTTCTCCCTCTCCCCCTCTCTATGCTATTTGGTCCGTCCCTCCTTCTCCTCCTCCCCCTTTTGCCTGTCAATCTTCCCTTTCCCCACCCCAGTTATATAACTTGCTGCTGAGTCATTCCCCTGACTCCACCCTGGGGCTTGTCTGTCACCCTGAGGCCTCTCCCTCCCATCCAGAACCTTCCAGCTGGGGCCTTGGGTGATAGGATGATCCCCAGGGACCCCTCCTTCTCCCTCTCCCTATTAGATATCTCCCTTGATTGTCATACCCTTTACCACTCCCTGGTTATTCCCCATTGGTTCATTGATGTTCCCTCCCCATGTTACCACCCACTGTTATAATCCCCTGCCAACTGTACCCTCTTGCCTTTTGGGGCATACCCTATTCGAGCTAAGGTGGTGCCCGTGGACCACCAATAAACTTGGAGCTGTGGTACCCTTGAAAGGACGACTCCTGAGTCTTTGTCATCGGCACACAGGGTCCCCTAGAAGTTTAGTGCAGCAGGACTCACAGGTAATACCCCTCGCCCGCGGTGGCCAAAGGGGGTGGCCTTTGTTGACAAGCATGGCTAGCACTGAGCTAGCTGCCGACCAAAGGAGGCACCGCATCAACTTGGCGCCCAACGTGGGCCCTGGAATTGCTGCCAGACCCCTCGCACAAAACCAGCGGGGCTGCCACCCCTGGATTTACAAAACTCCACACGACAGCCTGCAAGAGGTCCATGGCCCTGAGTTACCCCCAGTCGCAGCAGGCCTTGTTTTAGAGGTTGCGCTCCTGGGGGACGGGAGAGGCAGCTTCCTTGGAAGTCTCTCCCCAACGAAGACCCCACTTCAGATTTTATTTGCCCCCTGGACTTGGTAAGTAGGGAAAATTCCCTACATCTTTTCTTTCTTTCCCCCCTTCCTTTTTCTTCTCTCTCTTTGGGTGCGGGACAAGGGGATCCTTTCCTCTTTTATTCCCTGGGTGGGGGAAAGATTTTTGGGGTTGTCCAGTTGGGGCTGTTTCAATTTCTTTTTACCTTTTTTCTGAAGTGGGAATTTTATTTGCTCTGCATTTTTTGAAACATCATAATGGTCAACAAGTTGTCTGCAGAGCAGAAGGGGGTCTTCCTCCAAGTTGTGGGTATCCTATTGGGGGGTGGGGTGTCTGTTAAGAAAGGTCAAGTTAAAGATCTAGTGAGGTGGCTCTTTCTTCATTTCCCTGAGGTGACTACCCCTGAAAAGGTGACTGATAACCAATTTTGGGATCAAGTTGGACAAAAATTAACAATTCTAGGCAAAACAGGGAGTAGTCAGATTTCTAAATTAACATTTTGGGGTTTGCAAATTCAAACAATTTTAAAAGCAAAACAGGGAATGGAGATAGAGCCATCATCCGACAGATCTTCCCCAGTTATGTTCTCCCCTAGCCCTCTTCCCTCCCTGGTTTCCCCTAGACCTGGAATTCTGAGGGGAGCAATCCACGATCCAGCGCGGGGCTGCTACTGACTCCCCGGCTCTCCTCAGAATACTGGGTCCCCCCGCCTGAGGAGTCTCGGATGTCTGACTCCCCAGGAATTTTCCAGTCCCCATCTTTCCCCAAAATGTACAGTTCTATCCAAAAAATCCCCAAAGTTTGTTAGATTTAACATCCCCGATTCCCCATCTCCCCAAGATGGCCCCCAGAGAAGCCAAGATGGCAGATACCGCATGGCTTTTCCCGCCACTTGTTCTCCTCCTCAAGATAGCACTGGCACCGAGGGGAGAAAATGGTGGGCGCCACGTGGATTTTCCCGCCTCTTGGTCTTCTTCTTCCCAAAATCCCTTTCGTTCCCCTTCCAACCCCTTCCGGTCCTTTGACCCCTCCCCTGGTTCCCGCTCCTCCCTTTCCTTGGCCCCTCCTCTTCCCTGCAATCCCGCCTCCAGCTCCGACTCCAGTTCCCACGGATTTGACCCCTCCCACCAATGTTACGCCTCTAACCCTGGTTCCTCCCTTGGCCACTCCCCCCAGGCAGAAGTCCCTCCTCCCACGGGCTCCACCCTGTCCCTTGGCCCCTCCCACCTGGAACCACCTTCCGGTTCCCACAGTCCTCCTTCCGGTTCCCACGATTGTAGGACCGGGGAGGTGGGGCCTGGGAGCAGAAGCAGCTCTCACTTACCATCAGGATCCCTCCCTGAAAACAGCAGTCCCACACAGACACTCCTGGCTGCGCCAGTCACCTACATCCCAATGGCCAAGGGTGGCACGCGCGCCCAGTGAACCCCACTGCTATTTCAAGTTACCAAAGAGTTATGCAGGGCGCAGTGGGAGTTCACTCGGGAGAGCGAGTGCTTCCGGGGGATGCGGATGGCCACTTTGTCAACAGACCTTACCCCTGCAGATGTCCGCCAGCTCTTCTCCTGCCTCTTGACTCCTACGGAGTTCTTGAGGTGGGAGACAGAGTGGTGGAAGGAGGTCTGGGGCTCCCTTTACCAACTTTGGGAGGACCTGGCCACTGCTCATGATGCAGGGGGAAGGATGCTCTCCCTTGACCACCTCTGCGGTCAAGTGGAGTGGGCCGACGGAGGGCGACAGGCCTCAGAAATCCCCCGGAATGCGTTGCGAGAATCCGTGTGGGCAGCAGAAAGGGCGTTCTTAAATCTTAAACCGAAGGGTCAGGTCTTGAATTACCTCAAGATCATGCAGGCCCCCAATGAGACCTTTTTAGATTATGTCGAGAGGCTCCGTAGGTCGGTGGAGCTCCAGATAAAAGATGAAACTGCGAGGCAGGAGGTGCTGCGGGAGATAGCGGCAGTCAACGCAAATGCCCAGTGCAAAGCAACCATCCTGAGTCTCCCTCTGGAGCCAAAGCCAACCCTACATGACATTCTAGAAGTGTGTGAGATAAAGGTCGACTTCTTGACGACGGAAGAACCACCTAATGGGGGACCTGCACCGGCCACACCACCGCCAGCCAGACCGAGACCAGCCCGACATGCCTATGCCGCCAACATCGGACCGCCGATGCCGCATCAACGCCCTCGACCCATAGAGCACAGCCAGAGACCAGGAGACCGTTGCTTCCTGTGTGGGACTCCAGGACATTGGTTTGGGGACTGCACCCTAAAAAAGGGATTTCCATCAAATTAAGAAACAACAGGGCGGGACCCAGGGACCGCCAAAAAACTGACTTTTGAGCGCAGCTCCCTCCTGCGCTCGGACATAAATTTGGTGGGCTCTGTGTTTTCGCAGGGAGGGGGATTCCAGCAGATGCCCACACCAACCTCAACAGCCACTAAAATGGACTCGACAATTCCTGGACTGGACATTATTCCAACGGATAGTACACGTGCACTCTACGAGCAGCAACACCGCAGGCCCATTTTAACAACAATGTCGTGTTTTTCCCCTTTCAGGCTCCAGCTGACAAAACTGCTGCACCTCCATGACTCAGACCGCCACCTAGTCTTGGTGGCGCCAGAGGGTTCAGGTACCTGGGACCAGCTGAGATGGAAGTACATCGTTGTTGGCGACACAAAATACACACCCCAGGAGATCATGGTACTGCCCGGGTTAGTGACATCAGACCCAGGGCGCTTCATGCTTCCCCTGCATTGTGTTCGCCTGCCAGTGTTTCTCCCCAAGGGTCAAATAGTGGTCCAAGCCATCCCAGTCCCCGAACCACCTTGGGACCGGGAGCAGGCTGAAATTTAAGAAAAAACTTATTCCATCTGTCTATTGGGCACAGGCCCTTGGGGAGAACAAGCCAAAAATAACTTGTGGCCTTAATTTCTGGGGCGAGCGAAAGACAGTGCAGGGGCTCCTGGACACTGGGGCGGATGTGACGATGATTCCCGCTTGGGAGTGGCCATCACATTGGGAATTGCAAAACGTGGCTGGACGCGTGCAAGGTGTAGGGGGTATTCAATTGGCACGACAAGCTAAGAGCATTGTACAAATTGAGGGGCCGGATGGGTAATTGGCTTCCAAACGCCTGTTCGTTTTGGATTTTATGGAACCCCTCTGGGGAAGAGACCTGATGGCCCAGTGGGGGGCAAAAATTGACATCCCTAAGCCCCCCCAGCTTTTTCGGGCGGCAGCCACTGAGGAGCGCCCCACCCAAAAACTGAATTGGCTAACAGATGAACCAGTTTGGGTGGAACAGTGGCCACTCAACAAACAAAAACTAGCAGCACTCGAGGAACTCGTGAAGGAGCAACTTCAGAAAGGTAACATCGTGGAGACCACCTCTCCGTGGAACTCCCCTGTCTTTGTTATTATAAAGCCTAACAAGGACAAATGGTGGCTCCTTCACGACCTCCGTGAAATAAACAAAGTCATTGAAGATATGGGGTCTCTCCAACCAGGGATGCTGTCCCCATCAATGCTCCCCCGCAATTGGAATTTGGCCATAATAGACATAAAAGACTGTTTCTTTCAAATTCCCCTACATCCTGACGACGCCCCACGGTTCGCCTTCTCGGCTCCTACCATCAACCAAGAAGCCTCAAGGAGAAGATACCACTGGAAAGTTCTTCCTCAGGGCATGAAGAACAGCCCAGTCATCTGCCAGTGGTACATCTCCTCCTTGCTGTCCCTGTCCGTGTAGCTGTAGGAGATGCCATCATCCTGGACTACATGGACGACATACTGGTGTGTGCCCCCATGGACGATCTGCATACCTATGCACTTGGCCTAACAATGGATTCATTGATTGCTGCAGGGTTCAAGCTCCAGACCAAGAAGATTCAGAGGATGCCACCTTGGAGGTACCTGGGGCTGCAGATGAAAGCGAGGACCATTGCTCCTCAAAAACTGGAAATTCGCAATTCTGTCCAGACCCTAGCGGACCTTCAACAACTGTGTGGGTCGTTAAATTGGGTAAGACTGTGGCTGGGTATCTCCACCGAAGACCTGGCCCCCCTTTTCAATTTATTGGAAGGGGGAGAGGGGCCTAGTTCCCCACGGACCCTTACCCCAGAGGCGCAGAAGACTTTAGAAAAGGTACAAATATAAATGTCTGCCAGGCAGGCCCACCGCTACCAACTGGGTCCGCCCTTCCAGTTCATCATCCTGGGAAAATTGCCACACCTCCATGGGATGATATTTCAGTGTCACAGTAAGATCAGGGAGGAGGACCATGGCTCGAGGGACCCTCTCTTGATCATAGAGTGGGTTTTCCTCAGTCATCTTCGGTCCAAGAGAATGACCTTGCCACAGGAGCTGATGGCTGACCTCATCCGGAAAGCGTGGCTGCGCATCAGGGAGTTGGCAGGGTGCGACTTCGACATCATTCACGTCCCAATCCAATTATCCATGGGCCAATTTACAAAAGCAATGTTGGAGCACTTACTCCGTGAAAATGAGTCCCTGCAGTTTGTGTTGGACAGCTACACTGGTCAAATTTCAATTCATTGGCCGGCCCACAAAATTTTTAATTTGGATGTCCAATTTTCACTATCACTCAAAAGGGTCCAGAGTAGGCAACCTCTAAAGGCCCTGACAGTTTTCACTGATGCGTCCAGAGCATCCCACAAGTCTGTAATGACTTGGAAGGATCCTCAGACTCAGCAGTGAGAGGCAGATATTGCCAAGGTGGAAGGATCACCTCAAGTAGCTGAGTTGGCCGCTGTCGTCAGGGCTTTTGAGAGGTTCCAGGAACCCTTCAATTTGGTTACAGATTCGGCATATGTAGCTGCTGTAGTGTCCAGGGCTGAAAACGCAATCTTGCAGGAAGTGCCTAACACTGCCCCATATGTGTTGCTCTCACAACTAGTAGATCTTGTCTCCCACTGAGAACAACAATTTTATGTGATGCATGTCAGGTCGCACACTGACATGCTGGGGTTCATTGCCAAGGGCAATCGAAGAGCTGATGCCCTGGCGGCCCCGGTACACATGGTGCCACTCCCTGACCGGTTCCAACGAGCCAAGGTCAGTCATCAGAAGTTCCACCAGAATGCGCCTAGTCTGGTCTGGCAATTCCAACTGACCCGCGACCAGGCCAAGGCCATTGTGGCAACATACACCCAGTGCCAGAACCACAAGATACCCACACTCAGTGCTGGGGTGAATCCCAGAGGGCTGCACAGCTGCGAGGTGTGGCAAATGTGTGTCACCAAGATCCCTGAGTTTGGCAGGCTTAGGGACGTCCATGTATCAGTGGATACCTTTTCTGGCGCCGTCTATGCCTCTGCCCATGCAGGGGAGAAGGCAAAGGATGTCATCAACCACCTCATCGATGCCTTCTCCATGTTGGGAGTCCCTAAGGTTTTAAAAACAGACAATGCCCCTGCGTACGGATCCAAGCTTCCTGCAGCAATGGGGAGTGGAGCACACCACCGGCATTCCCCACTTCCCCACAGGTCAAGCCGTAGTTGAGAGGACCCACCAGAGCCTGAAGAAGATCATCAAACACCAATGAGCAGCTATGAAGGCAGAGTCCCCTCATGTCCAGCTGGCACAGGCGTTGTTCACACACAATTTTCTAAATTGTGCGTTTGAGAACCTGAATCCTCCCCTTACGCGGCACTTTAAGACCAACCCTCAGTTGGAGCTGAAAGAGAAGCCACCGGTCCTTATAAAAGACCCTGAAACCTGGCAACTGCAAGGACCATTTGAGCTCATCACTAGGGGGTGAGGGTATGCATGTGTTGCTACCCCCTCAGGGCTGAGATGGGTGCCTGCAAAGTGGGTACGCCCATACATTACCAAGCCAGTTCAGGCCGCACTTATCAGACAAGTCGAGGACGTCTGCTGGAGGAGAAGGCAATGGACCAATTCAATCTAAGTTACCCCTTATTAACCCTCTTTTTATATTTACTTCACAGCCTCAGCCCGAGACCACCAGAAACAGCATGGACCCCAACCACCTGCTCGTTCTACTCTGCTTCACCATCCCCAGCTCTGCATGGATCGTTCCCCAGCCAACAAAGAACGTCTGGAAGACGCTGGCACAAGCCCTTGGGCAGGACAACATCTGTTTGTCCACCTCTTCCGCTGCCGACCCATTCCTGTTCTGCCTTGTAGGGATCCAATATAAATTAGATGATTTCCCCTTCACCTTCCCTAACCCCACCGCTTCTCCCAGCAAGAAAGCCTGCTCCTTCACCATCCACCAGCTGGACACGTGGAGATGGGTCAAACTGCTCCCCCTGATGGAAGATAGTCCCCAGGAATTGGACCTACTTGGATACTCTCCCTCTTGTACCTGTATTCATTTTGATGTTACCCCAGATCCCCAGGACTGGCCTAAAATTGAAGTCAGACAATCTAATCAAGCCTACACCGCAAAGGAATGGTGCCAACGAGTAATCAAAATCCCTATGTTTTCCACCCCCGACAACCGTCCCCATTCCCTCCCAAAAGGCACATTCTTAATTTGTGGCACCCGGGCCTGGGCTGGCATCCCCCCTCACCTTATTGGAGGCCCTTGTATCTTCGGCCAGTTGAGCCTGTTTATCCCCAACCAGACAAAAATTTCTCATTGGAAACAGATTAATGGAACCTTCCAATTGGCTCGGCTAAAACGGGATACCGAACTCAGTAATCTGGATAAAAATTGTGACTCTGAAATTTTTCATTGGTCCAAGCCAAAAGGCATGGACACAATTGTGTTTTTACCATGGGTGGCCATTGCCCATGCCTTCAGGGAATTGGCCGGCCTGGAGTGCTGGGTGGTGAAACAGGCCAATGTTACCTCAACTGCGCTTGCTGGTCTCCTATTAGATGAGGAGGTAACAAGGCAGGCAACCCTCCAAAATCAGGCAGCCATTGACTTCCTCCTCCTGCTCCATGACCATTCCTGTGAAGAATTTGAGGGCTTGTGCTGTATGAACTTAACATCCAAGGGTGGTGATGTCCGGAAAGCAATCAATAAATTGCAAGATATGATTAAAGACATCAAAAAGGAGACTGGGGATTGGTTGAGTGTCCTGGTTTGTAAGATAAGCTTGTATTCTATTTGCCATCTGTTGGAGGTTGGGTAGGTTTATTATCTCTTCCAAGAATGATGGTTTGCTCCGAAGAGGTAATGGTTTGTTAATGGGCCATTGACTGACTCACTGCAGGCCTGGTAACGTTACACCATCCCATTGTGAGATGCTCTACCCAGAGGGGGAAGCCAAGCACTCTTTTATGGTATAAAGTGGTACCTTTTGGGAGACAGAGCAGCTCTCTCTCTTTGTGGGATTCCCAGAGAAGCAGCTCCTTCGGCAGGATGCCCAGAGAAGCGGCTCCTTCGGTGGGATTCCCAGAGAAGCAGCTCCTTTGGCGGGATTCCCAGAGAAGTGGCCCCTTCGCTGGATTTACAGAGGAAGACCGGCCCAACTACCACCAGATCTTCAGAGAAAACTATACCCTTCTAAAGATCACCACTTCAGCTGCAATTCATCAGCCACTGCAAGAGGAGCAGCTGTCCTTTCAACTGGACTGCTACCAACACCCCGACTCCTCAGGGTGTCAGGTTGTGGACTTTATCACTAGTTCTGTTTGTACCAATTGCATTTGCCTTTTTAAATTGTTATTTAGTTTCTCCTAGTAAAGAATTGTTACTCCCATTCCCATATCTTTTCCTGAGAGCCTTTTAATTTAAAAATCCTTGTAATTCGGAGGGAGGGGGATTACCTTCTCCATTGCACAGGAGGCTTTTGCCCTCCTTCATAGACTCCTGTCTTGTCAAACCAAGACATTGAGCGACCTGGTGGGGTATTGGGGCATCTCAGGCTGGGCCACTTCTATCATTTGTTTGGGTCTAATGGTTGTGTTTGTTCTTATTTTAGCCCTTGTTATATTTGGAATTCTGAGACGGGTGGTGTCCGGCCTCATCACCAAAGCCCTAACAGTCCACACAGCAAACCTGGCTGCCCTCCTCCCTGCCCAGGAGCCTGATGTGGATGAAAAAGATCAACCGGTCCCAGAACTCGAGGAGGGACCCTGGGTGGAGACGGCTCCCACCTGCCAGCCGTGGTTTGCTGACACCTACCCGAATTCAGAATTCCTGCCCCAACCCGAGTTTAATTCATTTTAAGGAACTTTGAAGGACCTTTTAAAGGACTTTTCATCAGTTTTTCGTTTTGTTTAAAACAAAAAAGGGGGAGTTGTTGGGGTGTGTTTTTAGTTTCCCCACATTATGGTTTCTCCCTCTCCCCCTCTCTATGCTATTT